TTTTTTTTGATGAGTTTTTAATGTTTTTTTTGTTCAAAACACATGTGTACCACAGGTGAGCTAGGGGCTCCCCACTGCATGTCCCTGAACAACAGAGTAGCCATTATTTAAATGTTGCAGATTACTCCCGCAAAGGGAAAGTAAGGCCTAGAAGGTCTCCCATGGGGGCAGTCAAATGCTCCAGCTCACAAATGTTACATATCAATTTTTCTCAAAATGCACCACAAAGAAGCCAGCTTGCACAACCTGCTGTTTCTAAGGGCAAGAGCTGAAAGAGTTGGAGGGCAGCACCCATGATTGCCATAGGAAGCCTCTTCACTGAAGGAAGCCAGCTTGCACAACCTGCTGTTTCTACGGGCAAGAGCTGAAAGAGTTGGAGGACAGCACCCATGATTGCCATAGGAAGCCTCTTCACTGAGATATGACCAACATGGAGTTTGTCATAAAAGAATTTCAAAGAAGAATAGTTACCTGAAGGACATTTCATATCAAGAAGATAACAGTTACAGGGCTCTTGACAGTCTGCAAATGTCTAACTTCAAGGAAAAAAACTGGCATACCTCAGAAATATTGTGGATTCGGCTCCAGACCACCACAATAAAGCAAGTCACATGAATTTCTTTGTTTCCTCAGGGTGCATGTAAAAGTTATGAGTACACTATATTGTAGTCTATTATGTGCATGATAGCATTATGTCTAAAAAATGTATGTACATTAATTAAAAAATACTTCACTGGTAAAAAGTGTTAACCATTACCTGAGCCTTCAGAGAGTAGTTATCTTTTGCTGGTAGTGTCTTGTCTCCATGCTGATAGCTGCTGACTGACCAGGGTGGTAGTTACTGAAAGTTGAGGTGGCCATGGAAATTTCTTAAAATAAGAAAATAATGAAGCTTGCCTTATTGATCAACTCTTCTTTTCATGAATGATTTTTCTGTAGCATGTGATGCTGTTCGATAACATTTTACCCACAGTAGAATTTCTTTCAAAATTGGAGTAAATCCTCTCAAATCCTGATACTGACTTATCAACTAAGTTTATGTGATATTATAAATCTTTGTTGTCATTTCAACAATCTTTACAGCATCTTCACCAGGAGCAGTTTCCATCTCAAGAAACCATTCTCTTTGCTCATCCATAAGAAGCAACTCCTCGTCTATTCATTTTTATCCTGAGATTGCAGCAATTCAGTCACATCTTCAGGCTCCACCTCTAATTCTAGTTCTCTTGCTATTTCTACCACATCTGCACTTACCTCTTCTACCAAAATCTTGAACACCTCAAAGTCATCCATGAAGGTTGGAATTGACTTCTTCCAAATTCCTATGAATGTTAATATTTTGACCTCTTCCCACGAATCCTGAATGCTATTAAATGGCATCAAGAATGATGAATCCTTTCCAGAAGGTTTTCAATTTACTTTGCCCAAATACATCAGAGGAATCACCATCCATGGCAGCTATAATCTTACAAAACATATTTCTTAAAGACTTGAAAGTTGAAATTACTCCTTGATCCATGGGCTGCAGATACATGTTATGTTAGCAAGCATGAAAACAACATTAGTCTCATTGTACATCTCTATCAGAGCTCTTTGGTGACCAGGTACATTGTCAACAAGCAGTAATATTTTGAAAGAAATCTTTTTTCTGAGCAGTAGATCTCAACAGTGGGCTTAAAATATTCAGAAAACCATGTTGTAAACAGATGTGCTGTCATCCAGGCCTTTGTTGTTCCATTTATAGAGTACAGGCAAAGCAGATTTAGCATAATTCTTAAGGGCCCTAGGAGTGGTAAATGAGCATTAGCTTTAACTTAAAGTCACCAGCTACATTAGCTACTAACAAGAGACTCAACCTATTTTTTGAAGCTTTAAAGCCAGGCATTGACTAGCTATGAATGGTCTAGATGATATCTTCTTCCAATATAAGGCTATTTTGTCTACACTGAAATTCTGTTATGTAGTGTAGCCACCTTCATTGCTGGATAACTTCTCACAGCTTCTTCACCTTAAACTTTTATGTTCTAGAGATAGCTTCTTTCCTTAAATCTCACCAACTAACCTCTGCTAACTTCAGACTTTTGTTCTGCAGCTTTCTCATTTCTCAGCCTTCACAGAATTGAAGAGAGACAGGGTCTTGCTCTGGATTAGGCTTTGGCTTAAGGGAATGTTGTGGCTGGTTTGATCTTCTATCCAGAGCACTGTAACTTTCTCCACATCAGCAATAAGGCTTTTCAGTTTCTTATCATTTATGTATTCGCTGGAGTAGCACTTTTAATTTCTATCAAGAACATTTCATTTGCATTTACAACTGGGCTGTTTAGCGCAAGAGGCCTAAGTTTCAGCCTATCTCGACTTTCAACATACCTTTCTCACTAAGCTTAATTATGTCTAGATTTTAAAGTGGGAGACATGCGACTCTTCCTTGTACTTGAACACTTAAAGGCTATTGTAGGATTATTAATCAGCCTGATTTCAACATTGCTGTGTCTCAGAGAATAGGGAGGCCTTAGGAGAGGAAGAGAGATGGGGGAATGGCTAGTCGGTAGAGCAATCAGAACACACAATATTTATCGATTAAGTTCGCCATCTTACATGGGCATGGTCAGTGGCACCCTGACAGTTACAACAGTAACAGTAAAGATCACTGATCACAGCTCACCATAACAAATATAATAATAATAATAATAATGTTTGAAAATTGTGAGAATCACCAAAATGTGATACAGAGACTCAAAGTGAGTAGATGTTCTTAAAAAATGGTGTTGATAAACTTGACTCAGGATTGCTACAAACCTTCAATATGTAAAAAATGCAATAATCTGTGAAGTACAGTAAAATAAAGCATAATAAAAAGAGGTATGTCTGTATTTAAAATTGGGGCTACATTAATTCAGTGATTGGTGATAATAAAAAATTAATAAAATCTGGATAACTGCACCTAAATGAGCTTGCTTTCTCTTTAGGGCTATTGCTTTTTATTTGTATTTGCATATTTTTTTAGTGTACTACAAATGTCAAAACTTTTAGTTTCCAAAAGTGTCTTGCCACATTGTTCCCTTAATAAACTCCCAGTGCTCCTGAAGGCAGTTGGTATTAGAATGGACTATTATACCTGACAATCTACAAAATGTGGAATCATTTGAGTCAAAGTGAGCAGGGGTCCTTCTGTCTCTGGTTGGGACATTGGAAGTTTTTGTTACATTATAGTGGAGTGATTGGTTAAACATCATCTTTGATATCTTAGAATTCAGCCCATAGGATTATAAAAACTAAGAGTTTTGGGATGCTTCCCAGAGACTTGCTAAACAGATGAAAACATACATACATCTGATATAAAATCTAAAGTTTCTTTTTAACTCTGATATTCTTAAATATTCTACTATGCCCATCCTTGAGGAACTCTTTAATACATCACCAGCAAGAGAAATAAACACTGACCCCCACCCTTGTGAATCGCCCTAAGCTGGTTCTTTATTCATAACCAAATATTACTCCAATCCCATTGTGATTCAAACTTACAGACCGTCTTGGACAAGATTTAACAATGAAAACAAACCTGGTTGTTAGCTATAACCTCGACTCTGCTACTGACCTACTACGGAGGGCTACTTTGGTTTGCCAAGGATCATCATGTGCCTTCTACTAAATGGCTACAGCGGCCATTAGGTGAAGACCCTATATCCATTCTGCTCCAAATGATTAGGCTCCTAACCTAACCATTGCAATCCCATTTCATTCATAAGGAATTGGTTTAGGAATGAGCATGTAACTAGATCTTGGCCAATAAGACATGGGCGTGTGTGTCCCAGAAGCTAGATGGCTCCTGGGAAAAGTCTCCACATTTGTAAGAAATGAGGGTTCCCCTCTTACTCTGGGCAGGTGGCACCTGGATGGGATGCTGCAGGGAGAGCAGAGTCAGGAGACCTGCAGTGAATGAAAACTAGGACCTCTGGACTTTTTGTTAATTGGAATAATAAATCGCTTATTGTTTAAAACAATTTGAGTTGGGCTTTTAGTCACTGGTAGCCAAAAGCATTTTAACTGACAACACAAAGTTAAGTTGCATGGTTCTTTACCTTTCCTCCTGCGATGCACATCGTTTCCACAGCAGTGTCATTGGAAATCCCAAGGAATGTGCTCCAAAGCTCTGACCTTCGTGCCACTTTCACTAGCCCGTATGAGCAAAAGGGTAATAAGTGCAGCTGGATAGGCAGCTTCCTCCAATCATTGCATGATAGAATTGATAGAATGTGCTGAGCCGTTTGGCTGATGTTCACCGAGATCACAGGCCAGAGCTCACCATCTGTTGTATTAATTATTGCCCATATTCTTGATTTATAGGATGCCCACTATGGTTTTCCCACCTAATTACTTTGGATCTAACTTGGCCACTTCAACGATCACAATTCCTGATATACAGATGGATGGGACCGGAAAGTTAGCTCCAGCTCCAGAAAAATTAAAGAAGCAAGGATGAACCTGGGGCCTCTTTCTCATCATGGAGCACTAACAGATACTCATCAACTGTAAGGACACAAACATGCTCAGCACACATGGACACAAATTTCTTTTTCTTTTCTGATGAGATGGGTCAGAGTTTTCATAGCTGCATTCTAGGTCATGGAATAGGGTTTCTCATCCTCAGCACTACTAACATTTCGAGCTAAATAATTCTTTGTTATGAGGGTCTGTCCTGTGTATCATAGGATTTTAGTAGCATCCATGGCATTGACCCATTAGATGCCAGTAGCACCACCCAATTGTGAAAACCAAAAACATTTCCACACATTGTCAAATTTCCCCTGGGGTACATAATCACCCCTCAGTGAGAAACACGGTCTTAGAATTACTCTCAAATATCTGCAGATAAAACAAACAAACAAACAAACAAACAAACAAACACTATGTAGTAGACACCTTGTATTTTTACCACCAAGCCATCACTCACTTTTATTTCATTAATGGCACCCTGACTTCCCTGTGCAGAACTTCCCCCTTCTGCTCTTAGCCCACAGGGTTTGGATGAGGCTGACTATAACCAGGTACCACAAGCAACATGTTACCTGGGCGTAATCGATGGAAGTACAGCATCCCCTTGGCTTCAGTGATCTGTTCAGGACTGACCATGTGGTCCAATTCATGACTGTGAGAGTCAGGTCTAGGACTTTGAATTCAACTGTTGGACTTGTACTTATGAGAGTAACAGCCTGAGATTGCTGGCTGCCATCTTGTCACTTTTAAGAGGAGAACTCTCTGAGAAAGTAGCCACCACAGAATGTAGAACAAGAAAAGGTCAGAGGCTAGATCCTGATGCTTTATCTGAGACCATAAATCCAGCAATGTTTGATGTTAGATGTCTCCCCAAACTTTCTGTTCATATGAGTCAATTGATTTCTTTGGGCCTTAAGCCATTTTGTGTTGTGTTTCCTTTCACTTGCAAAGAATCCTTATTGCAGTATTTGATGAAATTTCATCTGTTTGCAATCTATAATCTTGTTTCCCCTTCCCAATATCCATAGCCTTTTTCTGCATGAGGGTTATAGATTACCTGGAAGATTGTACTTTTCTCTTTGCTGGTTTCTCTACCTTTTGAAAGACAAGGATGAGGAAATGGAGAGGAGTTCACTTTAGAGGAAGTGGGGCCCTCATACTCTGGGCCTGGAGAGTAGAGTGAACTGATAGGTAAAGAAACAGATGGTATGATAGTTCATTTTACATATCAGCTTGACTGGGCCATGGAGATTCCCATGGAGATCCCGTTAAACATTATGCTGGGTGGCCTGTGAAGGTGTTTCTGAATGAAATTAACATTTCAATGGGTAGACAGAGTAAAGCAGGTTGCCCATACCAGTGTGAGTGGGCCTCATCCAACCTATAGCAGGCCTGAATAGAACAAAAGGTAGAGGAAGGGAGAATTCATTCTCTCTGCCTATCTTCAAGTTGGGACCTCCCTTAGTCTTCTCCTGATTTTGGATTTGAACTGGGACTGGGACTGGAAGTTAGACCATATGCTCTCCTGTTTCTCAACCTTCAGACTCAGGCTGGAACTGTAACGTTGGCTCTCCTGGGTCTTCAGCTGGCTGACTGCAGGTCTTGGGACTTCCTAGTCACCATAACTGTGTGACCCAATTCCTTATAATCAATTATCTAATCAATCAATCCTATTGGTTCTGTTTCTCTGGAGAATTCAGACTAACACAGATAGGTTTGGGCAGAACAAACGTAAGGAGGAAATCCAGGCCTTCCTCTGACTCAAGCTTTCTCTCTCTTACTTATTTATACTTCTCTGATGTAGGTGAGGTTGCCTTATTAATTAACCTTTGCCACTACGTTGAGAAAGGGATCCTAGTGGTTTAGAAAGTTTCAGTGAAATGAGCTAGGCAGGTAGACACAGGCTTTTAATAAAATCTTTATGTAATTGGGAAAGACTTGGTAATTTCTGGATTTGCTTTTGGGGGTACCTCTTAAATCTTTATATCATACCTACATGTGACCAGAACTGCCTGGACAGAAGTGCCTAAGCTAAAAAATAAAATTAAAATATTTAGATTTAAATTTTATAGATTCCTCCCAAAGCACTGTCTTTATTTGTGGATTATGGGCAGCTACTATTATATTTAGAAAGACTGATGGTTACTCATAAAATCTAACATGGTGTCCTACGTCTAGAGCAGTAACATTAATGTATTTTGATACTCCCAGAAGAGGCAAGGTCCTTGTCACCTAGTTAATGAACACATGTTTACACAATTTTGCAAACAATTTCAGAGGGTCCATGGAATCCCTAAAGAAATCAGACTGTGAAGAGAAATCAGGCTGTCTCTAATACAGTGAGGGGTTTCTTAACAGATTTTGTCCTCCTCTTTTCAAGTGTTTTACATCTCTTGACACATGTTTTATTTCAGGCAAACTGCTTCAGAAGTTTCAAAGAGCACGTATATTGGTTCAGTCCTCATAGGATGGAGAAACCACGCATTTGGGAGTCAGACAGATCTGAATTCAAATTCTGATCTGTCACTCAGCTGTATAACTGTAGGGATGTATTATCACCTCTACAAACTTCAGTCTGTTTCCCCATCTGTAATATGATACAATTCCCAGCCATTTCTGAAGTTAAGGGGAGAGACTGGAGTAAATAATTCATATTCTTTGCTCTCTACTGTGTGGCCTCGCTGAACTTTCAGTTTGACTAATGATTTTGCTGAATTGCCCAATTGTTCTGGCTTCATGTAGACACAGCCAGTGGCTATGAAGTAGAACAAGGTTGAAAACAAAATCATGACGCCTTCAAGTGTAGAGTGTAGGCGTGTGTGTATGTTTGCGTGTTACAGCGGCTGGCTGGATTCCCTTGTTTGCATTACCCACTCATTCCAGGCATCTGGTCCTTTCTGTTTCTGTCTAGGTGCCGAGCTCATGATGCCCCACCCCAACTACTACTATCTTCACACAACAATGCCTCCTAAAGAAGCCTCAAAATCTTTACTGTGGCATTTAGTACATTTCTGTCCTTGTTTTTCAAGGGTAATCATTTGCATTCTGTGGGCATCAAAGAGCGTCTGCTATAGAACATGTTTATAAAATTGAATCCTCATTTATCCAAATCCCCTGTCTCTACACATACCCCTAAATTCTCTTGGCTTCTCCTTCCTGCAGGAGCCATGGTTTAGATACCTAATTGGCCCTTACTCCTTGCTCCTTATGTATTAGTTTCCTAAGGCTGCTGTAAAAAATTACAACAAACTGGGGTCTTAAAACAACAGAACTTTGTTCTCTTGTAGTTCTAAAAGTCAGAAGTCTGAAGTTGGTATCACTCACTGGGCTGAAATCAAGGAGTGTGCTCCTTCAGAAGGATCTGGGGGAGAATCCTTCTTTGTTTCTTTCAGCTTCTGGTGGCTGCTGGCATTCCTCAGTTTATGGTTTATGGCCACATCACTTCAATCTCTGCCTCCTTTGTCACATTGCCTTCTCCTTTGTGAGTGTGTGTGTGTGTGTATGTGTGTATGTGTGTGAATTCTCCCTCTACTTCTGTCATGTAAGGACATATATTCTTAGAACCCACCTGGATAATCCAGGATAATCTTCCCATCTCCAATTTCTTAATTTAATCATGTCTTTTGCTATGTAAGATAATATTCACACTTTCTGTGATTAGCACCTGATACTTTGGGTGACATTTTTCAGCCTAACACACCACAGACAGCACCAATGAAGGGGTGTGCCCAGGTGGCCATGTCTATTCCATGTGACCCTATTGACCTGGTCACAGCTGAATAGTTTGGAGTGGACTCCTGGCTCAGGAGAACGAGTGCACATGCTGGGTGGAGCCAATCAGATCAGGAATCAACGGCCCAGTTTCAAATTCCCAGGAAAGAGCGTCCACTAGCAGTTAGGACCCACATATTAACATAGTGTATATAGGTCAGGAGATGGCATGCTATATCCACCGAGGTACAAGCTAAAGGTGAGAGACAGTCAAGGTGCCGGCAGGGTTTGGTCCTGAATGGAGAGAATGAATGAAATATTCTAGGAGGCTGGGACAACACAGTCTTCAGCCTTTGAGAAGTGAAAGGCTTTTGGTTCTAGTTCCCTCTATGATAATACACTTTTTGTTTCTCACCCCTGGACATCCATGAAGTTAGCTCTTACATTCTTAAAAAAAAAAATCCCACCATATTTAAAATCATTTAAGGTAGCTGCTGTTCTTGGCAACCTTTAGACCCTCAACACAGACACTCTTCTCTGTCTTCCTCATGGCCTCGTTGGAGCCCCCAGTTCTGCCAAGAATAAATTCTCTTTTATCTTAAACCTCTCCCTACCTCATCTAGCTTCCCGCCCTAACTGAGACGTCCCCAATGGCATCTACTTACAGTCACACTTGCACCCTCTCATGACTCTATTAAGGGAGTCAAATGGAAAAGTTCTTCTTCCCACCTTTTCCACATCTAGATCAGTCACTCTCACCAGTGTCCCCTTCTTATCACCTGAAATTCAAGCCATTCATCTGTTTAGTTCTTACCAAATAATCACTGCTAACAGCCCCTTTGCACCAGAACTCATCTCCACTTCTTAGTTCATTTTAACCCTGGATTTATCCTCTTTTCTCTTTACATCCCCTGCCGTAATCCTCATTGACATCAACATCCATTTTTAATGACCCAGTAACTCTCTTTGATCTCCCAGCTCTCAGCCTCCCAGCCTTACTTGATTTTCAGCTCCACTTCTCATCTGCCACCCACAAGCAGGGCTGCATCCTGAGATCTTGTCATCCCCTCCACACAGACCTGCAAGAGCAGTTGTATTGGACATAAATTTTGCTCACCTCTAATTTCCCCAACTGCTCTCTTTGTTTCTCTCTCTTTTTGTGGCTTCCCCAACTGTGCCTACTCACTCGTTGCATCAGTTTCCTAGGGCTGTGGTAACGAATTACCACAAACTTGGTGGCTTAAAACAATGAGGTTTTCTCTCACAGTAGTGGAGGGCAGAAGTTTGAAATCAAGGTGTGGGCAGGGCCCCTGGGGGAGGATTTGTTCCTTGTTTCCTATAGCTCCTGGTGGCTCCAGGTGTTCCTTGGTTTGTGGCAGTGTCACTCCAATCTCCATCTCAGTCTTCACACATCCTTCTCCTCTGTGTTTTCTCCCTTCTATTATAAAAACACTTGTCATTGGATTTTGGGTCTAGCCTAATGCAGGATGATCTCAAGATCTTGGATTTGATTACACCTGTAAAAACCCTTCATCTAAATACTTATGTTCACTGTTTCCAGGTAGACATATCTCTTAGGAGACCATCATTCAAACCACTGCACTTCTTCAGTTTCAAATTTGAAAAATACACCACACTGTAGGGCCTGGGCTCTGGCTTCCTACAGCCAACAAAAGGACAGGTGATGCAATCTGGAAATGAGGAAATAACTCCCAACTGATGGACCTTGACCAATGGGAAACAAGAAAAGGAGGAAACCAGATGGCTAAATCTCTAGCCCCCTCTCATGGACCTCTTACAATATTTCTGAAGAATGCTTGTGTGCTAGTGAGCAAGCTGGCCTTCCAATCTACCCCACCTCTCCCAAGCTCTTCAGGAAGTAAATCCCCACCAAGTAACATCTTTCCACTTTCCTTACCTCACCTCACTTCCTATTGCCCCTCATGAGCACCTCCGTGGGCTTGTGCCTCTCAAATAAACTGTTAACACCTTACTCTCTGTCTCAAGCTTTGTTTTCTAGAAGAATTAAACTATGACTCTGGCCGGCTATACCCTGAGTTCCCATGGAACAGGAAGTGGTACAGGTAGTCTCCTCAGATAAAGTGCTTTTTTTTCTTTTTTTTTTTTACCAGGCAGACCATAGTTTATTGAAGGACAAAACTGTAGGCTGCCTTGTGTCCTGCAGAGGGCCTGGGACTACTGCTCTATGCAACAGTGGCTTGCTGAACTGGAGCATGAATAACTGGAACAACCAGAATCCCTGTGGGAGACTGTGTGATGCAGACAGGTAGCAGAGTGAGAAGAGTTGAAAGGGAGGGAAAGGAGGCAGATGCAGAGACAGATGTGTTATTTGCTTGTGATAATGGGGCAGACTAGAGGAGAGTCTGCTGGGTGCTCACTACTGGAGGGTGACAAGAGAAGTAGGGTTATAGCTTTTATGAGGCCTGGTCGGGCAACCTTGCTTAAATCTTGAGACATACAGGAGTAGCTGTGAAAAGTGCTTTCTGTGCTTCCTCTGCTCTAATGGTTCTTACAGTAAACTCCTAATGAAGGCATCCTGACTCCTTGCAGCCTAAAAGAGCTAAATTAACACAATCTACGGGGCCCTTAACCTCCCTGGAGCCCCCTCCCCCTAAATGTACTGTTGGCACCATCAGGAGTTTAACTATTGCACCACTGAACCCTTCCCCAAATGAGCCACTTTTATTTTGCCCGGCTCACCACTTTCTGCCACCAACATTGCCATCCTAGGCTTTCCTGTTATCTCAACTTTTTTCTATGTCACTCAGTCATAGATTCATAAATATTTTCTTCTTTTTACTTTTTTATTATATACACATAACATAAAATTCATCATTTTAAGTACATAATTCAGGTCATTGAGTATATTTACAATGTTGTGTAACCATCACAACTGTCTATTTCCAAAAAGTTTTTTTATCATTCCATACAGAAAATCAGTACTCAGTAAATAATAACTCCCCATGCCTTCCAAACCTTCAACCCCTGGTAACCCCCATTCTTCTTTGTCTCTATGAATTTATCTATTCTATATACCTCATATAAGTGGAATCATGCAAGATTTGTCCTTTGAGACCTGGTTTATTACACTTAGTATGATGCTTTAAAAGTTTATCTTTGTGTCATGTATCAGAGCTTTATTCCTTTTTTTGACTGAATAATATTCTATTGTGTGCTACCACATTTGTCTATTCATTCATCTCTCGATAGACACTAGGATTGTTTCTACCTTTCAGTTATTGTGAATAATGATGCTACGAACATTGATGTACAAGTATCTGTTCAAGTTTCTGCTTTCAATTCTTTTAGGCATATATCTAGGAGTAGAATTGCTGAATCATATGTTAATTCTATGTTTAGTTTTTTAAGACACTGCCAAAATATTTTTCCAAGCAGCTGCACCATTTTACATTCCAACCAGCAATGTACAAAATTTCCAATTTCTCCACATCCTCACCAACACTTGTTATTTTCTGTTTTGTTTTTGTTTTATAATAGCCATCATAATATGTGTGAAGTGGTATCTCATTGTAATTTTGATTTATATCTCCTAAGTGAAAGAAACTGGGCAACTTTTTATACATTTGTTGGCCATCTGTATATCTTCTTTGTAGTAATGTTTATTCAAGTCCTTACCCCATTTTTGAAGTGAATTGTTTGTATTTTTGTTCTTGAGCTATAGAAGTTCTTTATATATTCTGAATACTAATTCTTATCAGATATGTGATTTGCAAATATTTTCTCCCATTCTGTGGGTTGTCTTTTCATTCTCTTGATAGTGTCTTTTGATACACGAAAGATTTTAATTTCGATGCAGTCTAATTTATCTATTTTTTCTTTTATTGTCTATGCTTTTGGTGTCGTAACAAAGAAATCACTGCTAAATCCAATGTCATGAAGATTTTCCTCTCTGTTTTCTTTTAAGAGTTTGGTAGTGTTAGCTCTTAAGCTTAGGTCTTTGATCTATTTTGGGTTAATTTTTGTATATGATGTAAGGTAAGAGTCCAACATCATCCTTTTGTGGTTATCCCTTTTCCTAGAACTATTTGTTAAAAAGACAGTCCTTTGCCATTGAATAGTTGGAACCCATGTTGAAAATCAATTGACCATATGCAAGAAGTTTATTTTTGGGCTCTCTGTTCTATTTTATTGGCCTTTATGCCAGTACCACAATATTTTGTAGTAAGTTTTGAAAGCAGGAATTATGAGTTCTCAAGTTTGTTCTTTCCTTTCAAGACTGTTTTGGATAATCAGGGTTCTTTGAGATTCCATATGAATTTTAAGATGCATTTTTTTATTATTGCTGTAAAACTATGCCATTGGCATTTCTATAGGGATTGCATTGAATATCCAGAATGCTTTTGGTAATATTATTATCTTAACAATATTAAGTTCTTTCAATCCATGAACACAAGATATCTATTTCTTTATGTCTTCTTTAATTTCTTTTAACAATGTTTTGTAGTTTTCAGTGTACAAATCTTTAACCTCCTTAGTGAAATTTATTCCTAAGTGTTTTATTCTTTTCGATGGTATTGTAAATGGAATTACTTTAAAAAAAATTTGTTCTTTATTATTAGTGCATAGAAATACAACTGATTTTTGAGTATTGATTATATATTCTGCAACTTTTCTGAATATGTTTATTAGCTCTAAAATATTTTTTTGTGAAATCTTTAGGATTTTTCTACATATAAGATTATATCATCTCTGAACAGAAATCATTTTACTTCTTCCTTTCTCATTTGGATGCCTTTTATTTTTTTGTTGTTGTCTAGTTGCTCTGGTTAGAACTTAATATACTATGTTAAATGAAAGTGATGAAAGTGGGCATACTTATTATGATGTTGGCTCTGGGCTTTACATATATGGCCTCTATTATGCTGAAGAAATTTCTTTATAGTCCTAGTTTATTGGGAGTTTTTATCATGAAGTGTGTTGAATTTTGTCAAGTGTTTTTCTGCATCAACTGAGATAATCTCAAGTGTTCTGTTTCTTTATTACATTAATGTGATATCTTTATTGATTAATTTTCATATATTGAACCATCCTTACATTCTAGAAATAAATTCCATGTGGTCATAGTATATAGTCTTTTTTCATATGCTGTTAAATTTACTTTGCTATTATTTTATTAAGGTTTTTTGCATCAATATTAATAAAGGATAATTTAACTACATTCCATAATTTTTGTATGTTGTTTTTTACATTTTCCTTTGTCTCAAGGTATTTTTAAATCTCTCTTGTGATTTCTTCTTTGACCTATCGATTGTTAAAGAATGTGCTGTTTAATTTCCACATATTTGTGAATTTTTCTATTTTACTTCTATTATTGATTTTTAGTTTAATTCCATTGTGATCAGAAAAGATACTTTGCATGATTTCAGTCTCTTTTAAATTTATTAAGACTTGTTTCACGGTCTACCACATGATCTATCCTAAGAATGTTCCACATGCTCTTGAGAAATATGTATATTCTGCTGTTGCTGGGTTGGGTATTCTGTATGTGTATTAATTCTAATTGATTCATATTAGTGTTCAAATTCTCTATTCCCTTATTGGTTATCTGTCTGGTTGTTCTATATTATTGAAAGTGGGGTATTGAAGTTTTCAAGTTCTATAGTTTCCACTATAGATCTGTCTGTTTCTCCCTTTAATTCTGTCAATATGGTTCATAAATTTTGGGTGGAAGTGTATGTTGTTTGATGCATACATGTTTATAATAGTTATATTATCTTGAATTGACCCTTTTATCAATATATAATGTTCTTCTTTGTCTTTTGTAACAGCTGTTTTTTTTAATTTAAAGTCTGTTTTGTCTGATGACAGTATATCACAGCTCTCTTTTGGTTACTATTTGCGTGGAATATCTTCATCCTTTTACTTTCAACTTATTTGTATCTTTAGGTCTAAAGTTATTCTCTTCTAGACAGCATATAGTTGGATGATGTTTTCTTTATCTATTCTGCCAATCTCTACCTTTTGATCAGAGAGTATAATTCATTTACATTTAATGTAATTGCTAATAAGGAAGGACATCTGCCACTTTGCTATTTGTTTTCTGTATGTCTTACAACTTTTTTCATTCCTCACTTCTTCTATTACTACCTTCTTTATGTTTAGTTGAAGTTTTTGTAGTGACACATTTTGATTTTCTTCTCATTTACTTTCACGTATATTCTATAGATATTTTCTTCAAGATTACTATAACACATTTAAAATATTAAAGTTATAACTAGCTAATTTTAATTAATTTTAACTTAACTTCAATAGCATATAAAAACTCTGCTCCTATATAGCTCCTTCTCCACCTCTTCATATTATTGATGTTACAAATTACACCTTTATACACTGTGTGTCCAAGAACATAGATATTATTTTTATACATTTGTGTTTTAAATCATGTAGAAAATAAAATGGCAATAATTAATATAAAATGGCTTTTATATTTGCCCATTTTTTTACCTTTACTGAAGATCTTTTTTGTTTATACAGATTTAAGTTGCCTTTGAGCATCCTTTCATTTTAACCTGAAAGACTCTCTTTTGCATGTCTTATCAGGCAAGTCTAGTGGTAACAAACCACCTCAGCTTTTGTTGTCTGGGAATGTTCTCATTTCTTCCTCATTTTTAAGGACAGTTTTGCCAGATATAGAATTCTTAGTACAGTGTTTTGTTTTGTTTTGTTTTTCTTTCATCACTTTAAATATATTGTCCCCTGATTTCTGACCTCCAAAGTTTCTGATCAGAAATCAGATCATAATTTTATTTAGGATTGCTCACATTTGCTGAGTCATTTCCCTCTTACTGCTTTCAAGATTCTTTGTTTTTGGCTTTTACCCATTTAATTATAATCTGTCTTCATATGGGTCTCTTTGAGTATCCTACTTAGAATTTTTTGGGCTTCTTGGATTTGTATGTTCAAGTATTTAATCAATTTGGGCTGTTTGTGAACTTTATTTCTTCAAATAAT